GGGGCCATGACAGTGAGTGGGGTGACCAGGCAGTAAGGGGAGGACCCAGTTTGGGGGTCCCTGCACTTGCCCCTGCCTCTTCCAGCTGTGTAATGCCAGGAAGATGCACAACCTCCCTCAATCTGAGCTGGAAACAAAAATACTGAGTCACACTAACCCTAACCTAAGGGGAGTCCTAAGGGGTCACCTGGGCAGTCTTAGCTCATAAAATGCTTTGTGAACTCTGAGAAAGCTCAAAACTTTCCAAGCACCTGCTCATTGGGGAAATACCCCCTACACCTAATGCCCTTGGATACTGGGAGATGCTTTATAAACCCTGAGACTCCTTATAAATAGGAAAATGCTCCATAAACACCAAGGCAAATTGAAAAACACTTTGTAAACCCTAGAATTCTTTAGAAATCAGAGAAAACTAGATTTCCGGGGCTTGAAGACATCAACAACTGTAAGGTGCATCGGTATTTTGTACACCACCAGGAAAAGCAGCTCAGTTAAATAATAATGTTGTTCGAAGATGTAATTGATGATTTAAAAAAAAAAAAAGGGGGGGGGATCCAGATTTCAGAGATCCCAAAGTGAAGATAGACTATGAAACCAGCCCAGCAGTAACTTGTAGGCCCTCCCAAACTGTAACATTCTTTGTACACCTTAAAATACATCAGAAATGGAAATACTGTGACCATCACTCAAGGCATTAATTAGCGTTTGTAAGACCCTGTCAGTGATGATAAAATGTGGAAACACACACACACACAAACATGCAGCTTGGAACCGATGAAACGCGGTACTTTGTAAACCCTGAATAAGATTATAACTGGGAAAGGTTTTGAAAATTCGAAAAAACTTCAAAAACTGGGAGATCTTCTGTAAGCCTTGATGTTCCTTTTAAACTGGAAAATATTTTGTAATTCTAAATCAAAACAAATTCACCGCCCCATGAGTGGATCTCAGCTCATAGTAATCTACAGGGCAGACAAGAACTACTTCATAGGGTTTCCTAGGCTGGTGGCGCACTGCAGGATAGCACTGGGTCCTAAGGTCCGTCTGAACCGCAAGGCTGAAGGTTCAAATTCACCGGCCGCTCCTCCGAAACCCTACATAGGGTCGCTGTGACTCGATGGCACCTAACAACGATCTTTAGGAAAGTAGACTGTATAATCATCATTCTCCTGTGAAGTAGCTGGTGGGTTCAAACCGCCAACCTAGCCATTAGCAAGTGGGTGCGTCAGAGGTTTAAGGGACTTTTTATCTGAAAAAGACTTCCTAAAGCATAAAGGGCCTCCCCAGCACTGGGCAGAGGGGAGCTGGAGGCTGCATCGCCTCACCTGAAGCAGTGGCTGGAGATTCAGGGCGAAAGGACTCCCAACATAGGGAGTTGAACGAAAGACCAAGTGCCCAGACTACAGACACAGGTCCCAAAGAATAATGAGCAGGGCAGTTCTGGGCCGCTCGGTGTCTGAAGGACGGCGCCTTCCGCTTCCAGCAAACGCGCTCTCAACGCCCAACTCTACAAATGAGCTTCCGGAAGCTCAGAGGGCCTGGAGCCACCCTGGTCACTCTCCAGGCTGAGGCCCCGCCCCCTGATCCAGTCCCGCCCCCGGTGGGCCCGCCCCCTGCTCCCCTCCAGCACCGGTCCAGGCCCCTCCCATCAAGGCCCCGCCCCCTGTACCTACCAGTACCAGGCCCCTCTCACCCAGGCCCCACCCCCTGATCCAGTCCCGCCTTTGGTGGTACCGCCCCCTGTTCCCTATCAGCACCAGGCCCCTCCCATCAAGGCCCCACCCCCTGATCCAGTCCCGCCCTCGGTGGTACCGCCCCTAACGGTGGCACCAAATCCCGCCCCGTTTCCTACGGGTACCAGGTCCAGGCCCCTCCCATCAAGGCCCCGCCCCCTGTTCCCTATCAGCACCAGGCCCCTCCCATTAAGGCTCCGCCCCCTGCCCCTGGCCTTACCACGCCCTCAGGGTCCACGAGCAGCAGATGCTTAGGCTGCCCCAGGTGCATGCCTGTCAGCACGTACTGCCCCGGGTTGGTGACGCTGTCCCGAACCAGGAAATCTCCATCGACCCGAAGCAATTTCTCCGCTGCTCGGCGGCTCATCCGGCCGTGGTACCAGGGCTCCTGCCTCAATTGTTCTTCCGTAGGGGCGATGGGAGCCCTGCGGGTCGGGGGGCTCGGCCACTGGTCCTCCAAGGGAGTGGGGGCCGCCGCTACCGAACACTCGTGGAGCTTCAGGGCATCCTCGAAGGGTCCTGAAGGGCAGAGGACAGAACGATGGAAAGGTGGTTAGCCATCCAATACTGACACCTGCTGTGTATTAGCCCCTGCGCCAGGCTCAGCTGCATGAACGGCAGTGCATGCTGATCTTGTACCCTGCGCTCCGTGGTCTCACTGCCTCAACTCATTATTCAATAAGTTCTCTCAGATGTTTGTGGTCGCTGGTAGGTGTCATGGAGTGGCTTCCGACCCCATGCACAGCATACAAACAAACCACTGCACTGTGCATTCTTCACAACGTTGTTATGTTTAAGCCCACTGCCACTGTTGTCAAGCCATCGCACTGAGGGTCTTCTGTTTTTCATTGACCTTTACCAAACGTGATGACCTTTTCCAGGGACCGGTCCCCTCCTGATATCCATACAAATGGAGAAAAGATTGAAGTTGTCAAAGACTCTGTTTTGCTTGGATCAACCATCAACACTCATGGAAGCAGCAGTCAAGAAATCAAACAACATAATGCACTGGGAAAATCTGCTGCACAAGACCTCTCGAAAGTGTTGAAGAGCAAAGATGTCAGCTTGAGGACTAAGGTGCACCTGATCCAAGTTCAATAATCTCATGTGCATGCATGTGAAAGTTGGACAGTGAATAAGGAAGACTGTAGAAGAACTGATGCATTTGAATTAATGGTGTTGGAGGCGAATCTTGAAAGTACCATGGGCTGCCAAATGAACAAATAGATCTGTGTTGGAAGAAGTACAGCCAGAGCGCTCCTTGGAGGTCAGGATGGCCAAAATTCATCTCTCATACTTCGAACATATTATCAGGAGGGACAAGTCAATGGAGAAGGAATATCATGTTTGTTAAAGTGGAGGGTCAGAGAAAAAGAGGCAGACCCCCCGCAACAAGATGGATTGGCAGTGACAGCAGCAATAGGTTTAAAGGCAGCAAAAATTGTGAGGTTGGCCCACAACCAGGGAGTGTTTCGTTCTGTAGTGCATAGGGTCGCTATGAGTCGGTACCAGCTCAATGTCACCCAACAACAACGTCCCTCCTGATAACATGACCAAAGTATCAGAGACAAAGTCTCACCATCCTCACTTCTCAGAAAAAAACCAGTTGAAGTTCTTCTAAAACAAATTTGTTCATTCTTTTGACAGTCCGTGGTATCAATCAGCATTCGTCACCAACACCGTAATTCAAATAAGTCTATGCAAATAATGCAGCCATCCTTCCTTTCCTATGTTTTCACAAATTTGTTTTTCTTCTCTTGTCACGTTTGCTTCCTTTCAATGTTCTTGTCTTATTTCATTGATCAAGCCCTACAGAACTATGCTATACACTCACGGTGACAGCAGGCATCTCTTTGGTTTCCAACTCTAATAGAAAATCTATCAATGTGTTGCCGGGCACATATTTGCCACACGTTTATAGCCCCAAAGGCATATAACAAGGGGCTATTATGTGGTTTACAATTATGAAAGGTGTGTCAGAATTGTGTACTTTCACCATACGTGGTCAATCTGCATACTGAGCAAATAATCTGAGAAACTGGACTCTGTGAAGAATACAGCATCAGGATTGAGGGAAGCCTCATTAACAACCTGTGACATGCACATTAACAACCTGTGATATGCACATGGCACAACCTTGCTTGCTGGAAGTGACAAGGACTTGAAGCACTTACTGATGAAGATCTAAGACAACAGCCATCGGTATGGATTACACCTCAATTTAAAGAAACCAAACGTGTTAAAAAGCAAAGATATAACTTTGAGGACTAAGGTGCACCTGACTCAAGCCACGGTGTTTTTAATCACTTTATATGCTCCTCAGAAACCCTATACAGGGTCGCTATGAGTTGGCACTGACTTGACGGCACTTAACAACAACATATGCATAGGAAGTTGGGCAATGAATAAGCAAGACCATAGAGGACTCGATGCATTTGAATTACGGTGTTGGTGAAGAGTTACTGTAAGTACCATGAGCTGCAAGAACCAACAAATGTATTTCGAAAGAATTAGCACCAAGGATGCTCCTTAGAAGCAAGAAGGTGAGAGTCTATCTCATTTACTTTGGACATGTCATCAGGAGGGGACCAGTCCCTGGAGAAGGACATCTTGGAAAAATAGAGGACCAGCAAAAAAAGAAGGCAGTCAGTAAGAAGGGTTGACAAGCGACTACAGCAATGGGCTCAAATGTTACTGTGAGAATGGCTAAGGACCAGGTAGTGTTTCATTCTGTTGTACACGAGGTCGCTGTGGGTCGGAACCAATTCTGCGGCACCTATGACAAGAACAATAGGAATCTGACCGATAATTAATGCGTTGCACGCCACTTGCCCTCTCTGAACCTCAGTATGTTCCTTTGTTGAATGGGGGTTTGGGGAATGAGTTTGCTAAAAGCAAAAGTCAGTCTCCTTCAGACACTGAGTGACCCAGAACCCTGCCCTGACCCTTATTGTCTGGGAGCTGTGTCTGTGGTTTGGGCACCTGGCTATTCGGTCCTTGTGTGTGTGGGGTGGATCCTTCCTCTCTGAAGCGCCATCCAGCAGCCTCACGCTCCCACAAACATGTGATCTGCTCTAGCCAATAAGCACACTCATCTCCTCCTCCTGGCCAGAGGTTGGTTCAGGAGTGAGCACATGACCCAGGTTGGGCAAATCAGAGGCAACCCTGGGATTTTTCAAGAAGGGGCTGCTCTCAGCTGGCTTTGCTCAACTGGCATCACTGGGTCATCTCGTCACCCAGGGGACAGTCTACCTCAAAAGGAAGCTTAAGCCCTAAGAAATGGGGGTTATCTCTCCTCTGTACCGGGGGGCCACACCAGTTGGTGCTCAATAAATGTTAATGCATGGTGTCACCACATTAATGTTATTATATGTCACCAGGATAGTGTTTATGTTGTGTTAATATATATCCGTGTCCTGTTACTATTAGCTTATGTAACAGAAGACACTTATGGTGTCAGATGGAGGGAGAGGAGTGTTTTAGAGGAGGGAGGAGACCCCGCCTGGGCCAGCTAGCAGCCAACGCAGGAGGATGAAATTGCTATGGTGGGAAATGAGGAAGAATACCTTAGACACTTCAGATGAGGAAGGACAGTCCTCCACCATCAAACCATGCTCCCCAGCCATCACTCTACTAAGGTGCGATCTAGACCTCCCCCATCAGATTACACAATTGCATTCAGGTATGGGGAGCAGGCCTCCACCCTTGGATTGGCCACTATTCTCAAGGCTGAGTCCAGGCCACCATCAGACTGGGTCTCCCCCCTCCTCCGTCCCTCAGGGAGTAGATTAAACTTCCCCCATAGGGAGAAGGGGGCTGTGGTTCCCCTATCAGACCTCACAGCTGAATGGGGAGGCTTCCAGTATCAGACTGGGCATTCTTTGGGGGTAAAATTCAGGTCTCCCCGTTCAGGTGGGCCTCCTGCATTTGCCTGGTCTGCTCTCTCCAGCTGGTATTCCCCCTCGATGGGTCTCCCCTCCCCACTCCGGCTGCCCCCCAACATACGCATGTCAAATAGGTCCTTCTGAGGGCTCTCCTCAGGCTGTGGGGGTGTAGCCTTCTCCTGCTCCACAGCATCCAGACCCTGCGTGTTGACATAGAGGTGGTCCTCGTAGTCGTGGGGCCCCCTGGCATCTGCCTGCACATAGCCGTCCCCTGGCCGGGCTAGGGAAGTGGGGACAGGTGGTGTGGTCAGCTGGGGAGAGCCCTGGATGATCATCCATCTGGACCCTTCTCCATATGCAGCCACCAGCCTCCCCCGTATAGAAACCCCACAACACAGCCCAAACGAAGTAGCTTACAAACCCATAAAAACTCCATCAACAACCAATCAGGCTGAAGCGGACAATGGGACTGGTGGGGGGGCACCAAGGTCGTCCCCTAGGAGGGACATTTGCCCACTCCAACCCTAAATCCCAGGGCCAAGTCTTTCAAAAGAAACCCCAAATCTGATTTTTATGTTCAGTCTCCACATTTACAAAATCATAAGGGTGAATCTTTTCTCCCTGTGATTGCGTGACGGGCCTGACACGGTGAAGCTGTTTGTTCCCTTTGGGAGCTTTGCAAGGTTTGCTTTCTCTTCTTTTTCACATTTCGGTTTTGAATGTCTTTCCCGCTTTCATTCCTGTGGTTCAAAATCACAGCTATGAATAAGGTATCCTCAGAGGAGTTCCCTCCAGATTCAGCCGGGTCCTGAACAAACCGCCTCTGAGAGATGGAGATGGGCTCTGGGTCATTTCAGCCTCAAAGTGTCTCATGAAACCGTGAGATGGAGAAGCCAGATTGGAAGTGACATTTAAGGGCAAATTCGTTGCCATCTGGCTTTCTCTGAACTGTCCATAAATGTTGTTGTTAAGTGCCATCAAGTCAGATCCTACTCACAATGACCGTGTGTAGGGTTTCTGAAGCTTTTTTTTTATTTAACAGGAACAGAAAGCCTCATCTTTCTCCCACCAGCCGCCGACCCTGTGTCTCCTAGTCCAGTGCTTGTCCTATGGAGCCATCATGCTCCCTCCTTATAAGCTGATGTTTGAACTTTCCATGCAGGGACTTTGTGATTCACTCACTCATGCCACTAAGTTGATCCGACTCATAGCCACACTGAAAATCTTTACGGGAGCAGACGGCTTAATCTTTCTCCCACAAGCAATTGGTGGCCAACAGCGCAACCTTATGGTCAACAGCCCGATGCTTATTCCACAGCTCCACTAAGTTTCCTTATTACATACACAGAGTCGAGGTCAACCCGCAGCAGCCCTTAGGCCAGACTAGAACCGTTCCCTAGGGTTTTCGAGGCTGTCAATCTTTACTCGACGCAGAGTCTAGCATCACCTCACAGACTTGAGTTCGAATCCCAGGTCTGTCTTCTGTCCACGTCTCTGCACCTCAGACTGTGCATTTATAAAGCACAGCTTCTTGATACAGCAGAGAGAGGACTGAAGTGTTAGAACAGTGTGAATACTAACACTGGCTGCTGAGGGGATGAGAGGCCTCAGAACAGCCTTCCCTCCCAGTCAGCCCAGAGCGGGTACCAATCCCCCGTGCCCCGACCCACCTTGAATAGTCAGGGAAGGGTGCCAGGAAACAAAGCAAAGCTGGGGCATCCAGAGTAGGAGCGAATGTGTTGCATGGAGTGGTTGCTTGGTGGAAGCGTTCCTGGATGTTGCAGCTGGGGCAGTGATGTCTTGGTAGGAGTTCTTAGCAGAGACATGGGGAAGGCAAGCTAAGAAGCACTAACAGTGTGTGCAGAGGCACCGGGAGCAGGAAACACTGAGGAGCCCTGGTATTTGAGGGGGAGCAGCCCAGGTTCCAGAGAAAACACAAACCCAGGAGGGAGCTTGGCAACATGTGTGTCCTATAACTGAACCCACAGGCACAGGGAGCTGGGGAGGGTACAAAAACAGCTCTAGTACTTGGGACGATCTCAAACAAAAAGACCAATACAGGTATTAGAGAAGCTGGGGAAGCATGCAGGCAGAGCTGGTGCGCCAGCGGACATGACTGAGGTCCACGCTCCATGTGACCCTGTTTCCACTGGAGGAACACACTGGAGAGGACAGTACGCCAGACAGGAAGGACATCTGTGTGCACAAGGGGAGCTAGAAAGATGCCAAAGGGAAGGGATGGGGGGGGGGGGGGGGCCCAAGTGTGTAAACAAACTCTGGGGGTGGGGAATTCTCAGCAGCTGTTCAGAGCAATGCACCGACATAGAAGTCAGAACTGATGAAGGGAACCAGGTAAGAACCAGAGCCAGGCCCACGGCAGGGGACTTCCTGTGCCGTTGTTTCTCTGGGCACCTAGTTCTAAAAAGGAGCATTGGTGTAGCGCTGTCGGATCAGCACTGGACTGCTAACCACAAGATCGGCAGTTCAAACCCACCAGCTGATCCTCAGAAACCTTATCAGGGTGGCTATGAGTTGGAACCAACTTGATAGCACTCATAATATGGCTAGAAAGTCTTGAGAAAGCATAGGAGTCTGCTTTAATGGTGTGGTGTGGTTACGACACAGTAAGACCTACGAGGAGGAACAGGACAGACTTTGTGGGATGCTCAGGAGGCTACTCTGAGGACGCAGAATGTGGACCGGGCTCCAACGTATGAATAGGAGTTGTCTAGGATCAAGGGAGCTCCCCGGGGGGTGGGCTAGTGGGAGTGTTGGGCCCAAAAGAGCTTTTAACTTTCTCCGTCATGTTTTTTTTTAAGGATTCCTGGTGCTGTGGCGGGCCAGTGTGTCAAGCATTAGGCTGCTAACTGAAAGATCAGAGGTTCAATCCCACCAGCAGGTCCAACGAGACTGTCTGTCCCCATCAAGATTTCGTTTCTGACACATTGTGGAGTAATTTCACCGGGTCCTGCAGGGCCTCTCTAAATCAAAACTGACTCCGTGACTGTGGGTCTTCGGTTTGGGTGGGGCGATGGCCAAGCACTTGGATGCTAGCCGAAAGGTTGGCAGTTCAAACCACCAGCATTTCCAGGGAAGAAAGATCTTGCCAACTATAAAGATGGTTGTTGTTAAGTGCCTTCCAGTTGGTTCCTACTCATAATCATTCTGTACAGGGTTTCTGAGGCTTTTTGAGTCTTTGCAGGAACAGAAAGCCTCATCTTTCTTCCTCGGAGCGGCTAGCAAGCTTGAGCCGTGGACCGTATGGTTTGCAGTCCAGTACTTAATGTAAGGAGCCACCACGCTCCCCTATACAGAATACAGCTGAGAAATCTCTAAGGGCGAGTTCTACTCTAACAGGTGGTGGGGTTGTGAGTCGTGGGGGTTGCTATGAGTCTCAATGAACGCAATGGCACATAACTAATTGATAATTTTGTGCAACGTTGTATATATATGTTGTGCAACTGATAACACGGGATCCTGGTAAGTCTTGACTCTAGAGCATCGCATAATAACGCCAGATGGATTTAAGATGAAATTAGAGTGAGTGGAAAAGGGTAATCAGAGAACTCAGCAAAGCAGAATAAGCCATTGACCCTGGGAAGCTATGCTTTCCAAGTCAGTAAGCGAGAGCGCAGAGTTTCCAGTTTACTCTTCAAACTGTGTATCAGGCAAACATCTGGAGACTCTCACATACCCACAAGCGATGGGGTATTCCACAGTGGGGGAAAAGATGGGGAAGTCTGATGGGTACTTAGGAAGCATGCCAAAACGGATGGTTAGGTGGAGAACATGAACATCATACACCACCGTCTGTGTGAAAATGGGGAGAGGAGCTGTATCTTTAAACCGACTTGAATGTGCACGGGAAACTCGGGACGAGTAAGCGAATCCCTCTTAGTCCTACTGACTGGTAACTTATTGAGGGAGGTGTGCATTCTTTTCGCACCTGGCCATCTGCTTAGACTCTGTGTTTTGAACCACGGGAATGTATTATCACCCTCCAAGATCACACTCCAAAACGTGAAGATACACAGGGCAGCAGGGCAGCTGAGGCAGGGACTGGTGGGGGAACATCTGTGTGGCCTTGAGACCACCCTACCTGTACCTGAGGGTCCCAGATCCCACAGAAGGCCACGGGCATCTCTTCGAGCAGGAGATGTTCCCTTAAAAAAGAAGGGTGTGGGGCCCCCCCTTTGAATATGCAAGCTCCTCTTTCCCAGTCCAGCACCCTAGTCTCCCACCCCCACCTCCCAAGTGTCTGGAGACATGGAGACAGATGTGGCGCTCAGTGATGACCACTACCCACCCACCTTTGTAGCCTCATTGGTCTTCTTTCCACTTTAGAAGGCAGTCTTGTGCTCTCCTGCCACTTGGCACATGCTCTTCCCTTTGCCCGGATACCCTTCCCTACCTCCTCTCCTGACCACCCAATAAAGGTGGTGTCCTGTTGCATGCTCCATCTATCTGCCTTGGTAGCCATATCTCTCCATAATCCAGTCATGATTTTAACTATTTATTCAGTGTCTTGGGATGGGAATCACCTCTGAGATGTTCATGCTATCTAAAGTGTCTGATGTGGGATAGGGCCAAGCAGCCAGCCAGCACCAATCTGTGTCAGCTTTGTGGGTGGATGGATAGGTGAGGGGTAGGGGGATGGGTGCATGGACAGTTGATGGATGGGTGGGGGGGTGGATGGATGGGTGGATGGTCGATGGGTGGGTGGGTGGATGGGTTGGTGGATGGATGGGTGGGTAGAAGGGATGATGGATTGGTGGGTGCATGGATGATGGATGGGTGGGTGGATGGATGGATGGATGGGTTGGTGAATGGATGGGTGGGTGGATGGGTGGGTGGATGGATGGATGGGTGGGTAGGTGGGTGGATGGGTAGATGGGAGGGCAGGTGGTTGGGTGAGTGAGTTTGTGGATGGGAGGATGAATGGATGAATGAGGAAAAGGCAAGCAGGAGGAGAGGAAATGCCTCATCATGAATATGGGAACTGACCTGGCCAAGAGCACCCAGGGCGCAGGGCTGTGACGGGGCCAGCCGTGAGTCCACCAGCCCACCTAGGGGTGGCTCCTTCCCAGGGATGCTGTTGTAGTAATTGTGTTCTGCTGCCTCCTCATCCCCCCAGGCCGAGTCCTCTAGCCCGGTCAGCCTAGGAGGGAACAGACAGCAACTGAGGGAGCCCATGAAGGGGCCCCAGCTCTCAGAAGGCAGAATCAGTCTCCCAAGGCCAAAGCTTTCTGCAGTGGCATGATCCAGGCCCAAGGACACTCAAGCCAGGAGAGCTGAGTTCAAATCCCGCTCCCCCACAACCTATCCCAGATCATAGAGCTCAAAGGAAACACGTGTCCAGTGAGTGACAGGCCCTCTCGCTCCTCATCTTTAATGTGGGGACACCTCTCAGGACCACGGCACAAACACCCAAAAGTCCTGGTAAAGGCCGGCATCTACCCTGAACTGCCCACCAGGAAGCCGGGGCCTGATGTTGACATTTTGCTGGAGCAGGCTGGGAAGAAGACCCATCAGCACTGATTGCATTTCTAGAAACTTATCCAACAATTACCTTTGCAGGGGAATGTGGTTAGAGCAACCTGGCCTTGGACGAGACATTGGGTAGATCAATGAGTCAGGGACACAGCAGAACATGACAAAGAGGTAAAAACAGAGGCAGGTCCAGGTGTGGAACAACCTCTCCGACCCAGTAGGTGAGAAACAACATGCTTCAGCAACAGAAACCTCCTTCTACTGATTACATTTTTATCACATGTGTATCTTGCATTCATAATCATTAATAGATGTTTAAATAGTGACCTCCTCTTTCCCAGGAGCCCCACCCATTGCCCTGAAGTAGATTCTGACTTATAGCGACCCTATGTAGGGTTTCTGAAGCTGTTCATCTTTGTGGGAGCAGAAAGTCTCATCTTTCTCCCAAGGAGAGGCTGGTGGGCTGAAACCGCTGATTTGGTGGTTCACAGTCCAGTTCTTAGCCTCGGGGGCCACTGTGTACTACAGACTAATACTGCTCCTTGGGACCCCTAGTGTAGCACTGTAGAATAAGTGCTGGACCAAAGGGTCAGTTTGAGCTGCAAGGCCAGTGGTTCAAACTCACCAGTTGCTCCTTGGAAACCCTATACAGGGTTGCTATGAGTCATAACTGACTCGAAGGCACTTAACAACAACAAAGGTTTCTGAGACTGTAAATCTTTACGGGAACGGACAGCCTCATGTTTCTCTTGCAGAGTGGATAGTAGATTTGAATCGCTGACCTTGAGGTTAGCAGCCCAATGCAGAGCCCACAGCACCACAAACCACAGCCTACTTGTACACAAGGGGCGAGCTGGGATGGTCTGTAAACTTTTAAACAATCAAACTGTTTTTGAGCCCTTGGGAAAACATCAAAAGACTAACATTTTGCCATATGTGACAATTGTATGAAATTCAGATTTCAGTGTCTGTAAATAAAGTTTCATGACCCGCGACCACACAGTAGCTTGTATAAGTACCATTATCTGAGGCTGCTTTTGCTGAGCGGACCAGACTGCCAGGCTCCAACAGCAGACAATGTTTACTACCTGGCCCTTTGCAGAGGTGTCCGGGACATGGTCTAGACTAAGAATAGACTGTCTAATCGACTTAGAAGGGTCCTACAGGCACCCGCACCACTGGGGTTATGGGAACTGGAGTGTTCCACCCTCACCTAGACCTGGTGGGTTTGTTCTGTTGTTAAGTGTTCTGGAGCTAGCTCCGACTCATAGAGACCCTACATAGGGTTTCCGAGGAGCAGCCGGTGAGTTTGAACCTTGCGATACAGTGCAATCCTACACCAGAACTTCGACCTGGGGGGGTAGGGGGTGCTTTCATGGCGGCTTTTTACAGCTGGTTGAACAATTAAGTCCGACAACCCAAGGAGATAGAGATTCCAACCCAGGCGCGGAGGGCCGAGGCCACTGACCTCTCCGGAGGCACCACCACCTTGGGGGGGCTGTGCAGGTACTGCTTGAATCGCAGCTCGAAGGCCTGGCCCACCGTACTGATGACACTCTGCGCGAGGCCGCCACAGCATTCCAGGATGTGACAGGCTACGGGGCATGCGTTAGGGCTGCGTCAGGGCTGCGGCTAGCCAATGCACCCACAGGTACCCGCCCGGCCTCCCGCCACAGCCTCACCTCGCTGGTTGATGGGGTCCTTGGCGACGTAGGCGACGTAATCCGTCATGTCCTAAGAGAGAGCAGTCAGCAGGGCCTGCTCGTGCCAGCCCATCCTGGACTCCTGACCAGCCACCCCAGCCACGTAGTGGGGATGGGACCTAGTGGATTCCAGGAGGGGCCTGGGAAGGGCGAGTGGGTCTCCGGTTGGAGGGGCAGAGGGGCTGGAAGTCCTCCACCCACCAGCCCAGCCTCACCGTGTCACCACCGGACGCGAAGGAGATGGACTGCATGTGGTGGTTAGCGATGGTCTGTGCGCAGAGAGACGTCTGGTCACGGGCTTGGAGCTGGGTGGGCCCCCAGGCAGGGGGGCAGTGGGCCAGGGACAAACGGATGGGGGGAGGGATCCGCCAAGACCACACAGAGTCCAGCTGGGCCCTGGGGACCTCAGTTTGTGCCCAGGTCAAGAAGGAGTCCACCCTACCTCAAGGTCACGCAACACGTGTGAGAGGGCAAACAACCCCTTATAGGTAGACACCCTGTTATGCACGCACACACACATGTACGCAGGCAGACACAGACACACCAACACACATTAGCTCCCCTCTGACACAGACAGACACATCAACCTGTACTCTCGCTCACACACACACAACCAGTCAACAGTCCGTTGCCATAGAGTCAGCCGACGCATGGAGTCAGCCGACGCATGGAGTCAGCCGATGCATGGGGACTCTGTGTGTCAGAGTAGAACTGGGTTCCACAGGGTTTTTTCAGTGGCTGATATTTTAGAAGATCGCTATACCTTTCTTTGGAGACACCTGTGCCTCAAACCTCCAGCCTTTCTGTTAGAAGCTGAATTTGTTCACTGTTTACACGACCCAAGGACACTCACACACTAAGATCCCCACAGCAACCACCTGCTCGCACACACGCCTCACAAACGCATACTGGAATGCAGGCTCCCACACATCAGCAGACCCAGACGCTGAACAGCACAGCTTGCCACGCAGACATACACGTGCTCACACACCTGTGCATGCACACACACAATACATCCATCACACACCTGTGCGCTCACGCGAGCGCTCACACACTCACATCTGTGCATGCTCACGCATGTTCAATAACACAATGCACACACCAGCACGCATGCACTCACGTGCATGCACACATCATGAACCCCCACACAAGCACTCACACGTGCATGTAATCACAACGCTCATTCACACGCATGAGCGCACGTGCACACATGTGTACACACACGGGCCTGCAGAAGTTGTGAAACGGCCCCAACTCCTCAATAGTTAACTCCTCTGTCAGTGAGTACGTCTGTGTGTCTTTTTGCGTGCTAATTTCCTGTCTCCTCCTCCTTGTCTGTCTGCCTTGTTCCCAAACCCCAGGGCCAGACAGGGTCAGGCCTGTGACCCCACGGAGCATCCATGTCACCGTTCTCCCTCAAAGCTCTTCTATGCTACTTTGCGGGTCCCGGACCAACTCTGAGGACCGTGAAGCCTCACTCCACCTCGTCGGCTCTCAGAGGTTGGAGCCTGGCAGAATTTGAGCCAGCCAGAGGCACGGGGCGGGGCCTGAAAGAGGCGGTGGGCGGGGCTTGGGTGTGGCCTGAAGTGGGCGTGGGTGAAGGCAGGAGAGGTGCCGGGAGGAGGGGTAGTGGGCTGGACTGAAGGGAGCCGGGTGGGCGAGGCCAGGAGGAGCTTGGCTTGAAAGCGGGTGGTAGAAGGAACTGAAGGTGGGGCTAGCGGGTGGGGTCTGGATGACACGTGACATGGAGGCGGGAAGGGGTTCCCCCTGGAGGAGTGGACTGGGTCGGGGCAGCGCCCGGGCGGCCTCACCTGGCGCGTGGCTGGCACCGAGAGGTTGAGACCATCGATGGAGATGTTGACCGCGATACTCATGCCGGCAAAACGTAGGTTGCTCTTGCCCAGGATGGAGGCCAGCGCCTTGTTGGGGGCCTGGAGGGAAAGGGGATAGCGCCCCCGAACAGGGCGGGACTCGGGCTTGAGCACTGGGAAGGGGCCGCAGAAGGGTTCAAGCTGGGACATGGGTTCCATCCCCGCCTCCAACTCTGCCCAGCTCCTCACTCACCTTCTTCTTCCAGGACCCCCGGACCCCCGGCACAGCCTCATGGAGGCGGTTGATGGCTTCCCTGTAATGGAGGGGAGCAGGGATCAGAGAGCTCGGAGCAGAGCCGAGGGGGTGTAGAGATGGAGGCCCCAGAGGCTGAGCACTTTGAGAGAGGACTCGAGGATTCAGAGAAGGGTAGGGGGGCAAGAGAAGGGTGCGAGGTGAACAGGAGGAGGGGAGAGAGGGAGCTGAGACTGAGAAAAGGGCTTAATTCCACCCCGCTGTCTGTCAGTTTGTCTACAGTGGTGGCTGGTGTGTGGCTGTAATGCTGGAAACCCTAAAATCCTCAGCACCTGCAAACATGGCCTTGTTTAGAAACAAAATCTTCGCTGTTACTGCTATTAAGTGGTCCTTGGAAGCCAGGATGGCCAAACTTCGTCTCTCATACTTCGGACATATTGTCAGGAGGGAGCAGTCGCTGGAGAAGGATATCATGATTGGTAAGGTGGAGGGTCAGAGACAAAGAGGAAGATGGGTTGGCAAAGTGGCAGCATCGATGGGCTCAAGCGTGGCAGCAATAGTGAGGTTGGCCCAGGATCGGGCAGTGTTTCGTTCTGTTGTGCACTGAGTCGGTACCCACTAGTTGGCACCTAACAACAACAGGATTACCCATGGTGGACAGGTTTCAGCTGAGCTTCCAGATTATGATAGCCAAGGAAGAAGGAGAGACAAACTACTTCTGGATGTTTAGTCACTGAAACACTATGAAGAACACCAGAATGTTGTCACAACGTGGCACTGTAGGATAACCACTGGACAGGTAACCACAAGGTTGGCAGTTCAAACCCACCCGGCTGCTGCTTGGAAACTCTACACAGGGTCGCTATGAGTCGGAACCAACTCAACAACACTTAACAACAATTGTCACAGTGGCAGTCCCAATGGACTCAAGTGTAACAATTGTGAGGACGGAGCAGGACCACAGTGTTTCATTCTGTTGACTCTACGGCACCTAACAATAACAGCAACATCCTGGTGGCACGATGATATAAGTATTGGAGTGCTGGCCTTTGCAAACTTGGTAGTTCAAACCCACCAGGAGAAAGGTGAGGCCATCTGATCCCGTCTTGGAAACCCCATATTGAGTCCTGCTGTGGCTCTGTAGCAAAGCACTGGACTGCTAACTACAAGGTTGGCAGTTCAAACCCACTCCTTGGAAACCCTGTTGGAACCAACTCAATGGCACCTAACAACAACCACATGAGTCTGAATGGACCGATGGTAGTGAGTTTGATACTGGGGTTGAATTGAAGTCCTTAAAAAGGTTATGTTGAACCCCTAAAATCCTTAGATTTTATATCTGCAAACATGCCCTCGTTTAGAAAACAGCCTTGGCTGTTACTGTTGTTAAGTGCCTTTGGGTCGGTTTTGTCTCATAGCAACCCTGTGTACGTTTTCCGAGGCTGTGCATCTTTACAGGAGCAGAAAACCCCATCTTCCTCCTGTGAAGTGGCTGGTGGGCTTGAACCATCAACCTTGTGATTCGCAGTCCACTGCTTCTACAGAGCCACTGTGCTCCCCTGGGTCTTGGAAGATACCATTAAATTAGAATTGTCGTTAAGTGCCGTCAAGACTGTTCTGACCCACAGTGACCTTTTATAGGTTTTCCGAGGAGAGGCTGGTAAGCTTGAACCACCGACCTTGCAGTTTAAACTGATTTTGCAATCTAGTGCATTAACCCTCTGCGCCAGCAAAGTAAAGCCCACTGCAATCGAGTGGTCTCTAACTCCCAGTGACTCTATGGGATAGAGTGGGGCTGCTCCCGAGGGCTTCCGAGACTCTAAATCTTCACGGGAACAGACAGCTTCAGCTTTCTCCTGAAGAGTGACTGGTGAGTTTGAACCGCCGACCTTGCGGTTCTTACCCTAACGCTTAGTCCAATGTGCCACCAGGACGCCTTACAACGAAGTATAAGTCGATTCTGACTCATGTCCACCCACATGTGATAGAGCAAAATCATGCTCCATAAGATTTTCAATAGCTGAGTTTTGGGGAGCGATGACCAGGACTTTGTTCCAAAGCACATCTAAGTGAACTCGAACGTCCAAGCTTTCAGTTAGCAACCAAGCTTGTAAACCATTTGCACCACCCTGGGACTGCTACAGTTACCACGTTGTTGTTGAGTGTGTAAGTCAGTTAGCTGACTTATAGTGTTTCTGAGGAGCAGCTGGTAGGTTTGAACCGTTGACCTTATGAATCGCAGTCCTGTGCTGATCTTATAGCATCACACCAGCGCTTCACAGTTATCACTGTTGTTGTCAAGTGCCCGTGAGTTCACTCCTGGGTATGTACCCAAAAAAACTGAAAACATACATCCACAAGGAGACTTGTGCACACAAGTTGACATCAGCGGAATTCATAACAGACAAAAGGTGAAAATAATCAAATGTTCACAGGTGGATAAATGGGCGCACAAAATGGGGTTCATCCATACAGCAGAGTATTATTGAGCCATAAAAATAACTGATGAGCTCAACCATAAGGACAATTCTGAAGGCAGCCCAGGACGGGTCAGTGTTTCTTCTGTTGTCGATGAAGTCACTGAGTCGGTAGCCACTCGACAGCGCCTAACCGTAACACCTGCATGTACCACAAGTGGACGGACTTTGCAAGCATTAGTCTTAGTCAAAGAAGCCAGACATCGACATGCAATATACAAGATAGACAAATTCATAGATAGAAAATGGATTCGTGCTTCTCCAGGAGCTGAGGGAGAGGAATGGAGAGTGACAGGTGATAGGTACGGGGTTTCCGTTTTGGGCGACGAGAATGTTCTAGAACTAGGGATAAAGGTGATGGCTACACAACTCTGTGAATGTACTAAGATCTGCTGAGTTATACACTTTAAATGAGTGAGTTGTGTGGTCTGTGAGGGATAGCTCATTAGAACTGGCTTTCATAAGCCCAGAGTGAATAGAATAAACCCATTTTCATACACAAAGCAATGCAGGTGCCCCTTGCTCTAAACCCTTTTGTCCACAGCTGTGTGATGTGATGCAGACAGCTCAGAGCATCAGGAATGTAATGTCTCTTCTGGGACTCCCAGACCTCTCCTAGCCCAAAGAAGGGACCAACCCAGAAGCCCTTGGTCCCTGGGACACACTGGGGGACTGTTTGCAAACATCCCTCATGGAGTCTTCTCCACATCCTGCAGCAGCCTGGCTGGACCCAGTATGAAGGAAAAGCTGAGGTCTGTAGATGGGACAAGGGCCGAGCCAGGACCTTCAGATCCACCTCCGTCCCAGGAATCCAATTGTGGCTGAGACAGCCATCCTCAGCTTCCATCCACTAATCAGCTTGGACCCCACTTTTGTCACCCTTGCAAAACCTTGCATCGACAGGCAGAGCTAAGGCTGAGACCCCCAGCCATCCAACCCTTCCCTGTGTCAACGTCTCACCTGGTGACCTGGGTGCGAGTGTTAAAATCCAGGGAACGCATGGACCGGAGGACTTCAATGCAACCCATGTACTAAGGAGGAAAGAAAACAAAGTATTAGGAGAGACAAAGAGCCAGACAGAAGAACCCATCTGGGGTGCCAAGGTCCTCACTTTCTCGTTGCCTCAGCCTCTAGTCCTTCCCTGTCACTGGACAGCTTCTAGCTTTGCTGCCTCAGGACCTTTGCACCTGCTGCTCCCTCTGCTGTTCCTTATGCCTATGAGTTAGAAGCCTGGCTCCTTTCCTATTTATAGGTTTTCTCTGTTGACACCATCACAAAATTCTTCTTGCGTACTGTGTTAGCTTCCTTGTCATCTGGAACATAAGCCCACAAGGATAGGGAGGATGGAGTTTGCCCACATGTGCTTGCCAGGTGGTCATTAAAAGGCAGAGACCTTGCACTACCTAATAGAGTGGCCACTAGTCCTAAGTGGGTCTTTAAATGTAACTGTTTGTGTTTCTAAATGTTGTTTTGTTGTTAGGTGCCATTGAGTTCGTTCTGGGTCATTGTAACTCCAAGTACAACAGAAGGAAACACTGCCCAGTCCACACCATCATCACAATCGTTGTCATGTTGTCATTGTTGTAACCAATGTGTCAATCCACCTCATTGAGAGTCGCCCTCTTTTTCCCTGACCCTTTACTTTACCAAGCCTGATGTCTTCCTCCAAAGACTGGTCCCTCCTGATAACATGACCGACGTCCGGGAAACAAAGTCTCGGCATCTTCATTTTCAAAGAGCATTCTGACAAATTCAGTATTCTTTGCCAACACCATAAATCATTAGTTCTTCTTTGTTGTTGTTGTTAGGTGCCATCG